CTTGAACTGAACTTGTTGCTCCTTAACATTATTTACTTGAATGACAACATAAATAAAAAGCATCTCACATCTTTTTATCAAACAAAAACTATTTTACAAAGAACAAGATTCAAGGAAATTAAGCCTATGTGAGAATTGATGAGAGATAAGTGTTCCGATTACATGTAGTCTGTCCAAAGCACTTTTTGAAAAAAGAAATGAAATATTCTTTCATTCTTTCCTGACTGTAAAAAGTGCATTTCTAAGTTATTATTTTTTTATTTTTGTTTCTTCTCAAATTATCCCCTTTATGACACAACCATTGTCTGCATAACAACTTGGCACCTTAAGTGAAAAAAATACTAGTAATAATGTGAGAGAACAGAAAGGACTCATTATGAACATGCTTTCCCTAGTTATAAAATCTAAGAGATAACCTGGTTACACAATAAAACTGTGAAGTAAGTTTCTTGAAATGTACTGTAACAAAAGAGTGGGGAAATGTTCTTTTAAAATACCTTCTTTCAAAGTATAGGCAGATTTTGCCTCCAAATTCAATGCAGGAAAAGGGGAAACTGTTTAGTAGACATGTTATTCAAATACTAGTAATTCATGAAAAGAGGACTAAATTTTGTCAACAATGAAAGTAGGACAACTCATTTTTATCATCTCCACTGATCCAGACATTCATATATTATTGAATGTGTTTGAAAAGTGTTGAAAATTCAGGAAAAGAGATATGAAATCCAAAATCTCTGTGACACAGAAAGAGTTCTTGAGAATATTTGGAGTAGCCTCCCTTTATACTATTTCAGAAACCTTTATAACCAAGGAAAATTTCACTCATTTCTTCAGAAAAGTGTGTGAAACTAAGACACAAAAATGAACAATACAAGCAATAAACTGACACAGACAATGAAAAAATGTCTTTTACTTGCATCATGTTCATAAATAGACATTTTTATGACAAAAAATACAGCCAGAATGCAGGATTTCATATTATTATTTTGTAAAATTTCCAAGGAGGGACCCCAATATGGCCCCTCTCCTCTCATGCAGGTGGGGTAACATTATTGACAATTTGCAACTTGGTCAGCTGCCTTTAGCTGCCAGAACAGGCACAGTAGAAATTCAGTCACTAGAGAGCCCTCAGCTTCGCTAGCCAAGGGTTTCTGATACGCTACTCTCCTCATAAACCCTTGGCATATGGTGCTGACAAAAGACGGGATTGTTTTTGTCACGTGATTCTTGCCAGGTACGCACAGATTGCGTCATCGACAGAAATAAAAAGCGTATTTAAACAAATTTTGTTTTTAAATAATAATTAACAAGAAGGTATCGAGTTATGTTAATTTGTTATTTAAACATGTAAAAATGCAAATCTACATCTGCAGTATAGATTCTTTATCACATATTTTGCACGTAGCTTTAGATATTGGATGACACCATATAACGTTAGCTATTCATAGAATGGCATGTTATCTTATGGATCATTCTTTACTATGTCTTGCGTTTTACATTACCGATATTAAAGAGTCAAGATATATCCCGAAAGCAAATATCATTATTTACAAAAAAACAATTGCTGATTGGTCAAACGATGTCGATCAACTCCAATCACAACTTGAGAAAAAAATCCAAACTTTTTTTTAACACCGTATGCCAAGGGCTTATGAGGAGAGTAGCGTATCAGAAACCCTTGGCTAGCGAAGATGGAGAGCCCTGTGGGCTGTTATGCTTTAGAAATTAGTGTCTACCCAAGCAAAGCCTGGAAAGAATCCTAAAGAACAAATGCAAAATATAAAAAAAACTTTCAGACAACAGATCTATACTAAGAAATTCAGAAAAGGTGGGAGGGATGGTGAATCTTGGCTGCAGCAGGACAGACATCTTGCATTTTCGAAAATGACATACTTATCCTGAATCACGTCGGTGTAATCTTATAGTCAACTAAGCTTCATATAATATACCAAAATATGACACTATAGAGCTGTGAAAGAAGTGCATAATATTGTAAGCCAAACAGTTAAGCACACCTGCAGCTGTTTCCTCATCGACTTACCTGGTTTCGACATGATGCCGGTTGTTCAGGTATAATTTCCTGTCATGGTTCCTACTTTTTGCAGTCTGTAAGCCTTTGCATCGTATCTGGCTTTAAACTATGGCCTTTTGAGACTTCAGTTCAGAAAGAGTTTCAGAATTTTAACAATATTGTTTTCTGCTCTTCGAAAAATGTTTATTCTGGAAACGAGGCTCGAGGCCATTTATGTTGTTAACCCAAACTAAAAATATTCGTATATTTCTTATATTTGCTCATAGTCGTTCCCATAATCTAATATTGATAGAAAAAGGGCCAACAATAAACCAGTTTAAAAAATATATATATGCGCTAAACTTTTTTTCGAGTAATACACGAGAATGTATTGCATTTAATCATATCTTTATGAAAATATACCATTTTCAAATTTGTTAATAACAAAAATTATTTCCTGATATCAGAAAATCTAAATTTTTTTTAATCTCAAAAATTATTTTTATGATATCAAAAATTCGCATTCTTCATATCATTTTTTTCAACTTCTAATATCAAAAGTTGTTTCTAAATTTCTAATTCCAATTTTTTCCCCTGTTCTATCAAAAATGATTTCTAATATAAAGAATTCCAGCAGCCGAATTTCCGATATGAAAAAAATGTTGATTTTGTAATACAGTTGTGATATAGAGATATATACATGTAGATACGTACCAATTCACAGTGCATCAGAAATTTATGATATCAAAAAATTAGTTTTCTGATATCAGAAAATAAATTAAAAAGCAGAAAACCCTTTTTGTTTTCTGAAATCAAAAATTTCTTTTCTGGTATCAGAACATGACATGTTGACCTCAAAAAGTCATTTCTGATATTAACAAGCAAATTCTAAAGATTATGGTCCCCGCCTTCGGTGTCTTAGTGGTCGGAAATGAAATTATTTATAGCATATGCCAGCGCGGATCCAGGATTTGAAGTTAGAGGGGGCGCAAAAAGTAGGCAGGGGGTCTGGGGGCCGCCTTGAGGCCCCCAGTGGGTCCAGGGCGAAGCCCTGGTGGGGGTCCAGGGGGCGAAGCCCCCCGGAAGCTCCTGGATTCTAGAGATTTTGTAGGGTAAAAATGAGGTCTACCAAGTAGAAATTTTTACATTTTCTCGACGAAACTATGATTTACGCTAACTTTAACAATTTTAGGGGGGGGGGCGCCGGGTGCGCCCCCCCTTAAATCCGCCACTGATATGTATCATCATTTATTTGGTATCATATGTCATCATACATGAAACAAATACACATAAATATACATAATCATTTGAAAGACAATATTTGGGAATCCATAAATTTTAAATAGATTTATAAATAGATATTCAGGTATGTAACTGTCTTGTTTGTGTGTACTATCTTTCTGTCCATCACAAATAAATGATGGGGGGGGGGGACCCAAATGAAAATGTTCATATTAAAAACCACAGCAAAATAATATTCTACCAAAAATGAGAGCTCATACTACTGTGACGGGCCTGGAGACAACACCCAACAGATTATTTTGTCATATTTTCCTATTTTGTACTAGCTGATACGATGATGATGCAATTAAAAATATCTATCGTAACACTGTCAATGAGTTTTCAAGTTCTAATTCTTAATTTCACCGGATGGGTGTATATACACAAACACAATAAGAACTCAAGTTGTTTATGTTCTTATTTTTGTATATACTCAGAAAATACAAAATAATTTGAGAATGGTCAGAAACAATCGGCTATGACAAATGCAGAAAGCCGGATTATGTCATCTCTGAGTATGTAACCAAAAGCACAGAACCATATTTCAAAGAATAATGGGAATCAACATGCATGTATAGCTAAGTCAGGGCTTTAATATAAAAACTGGAGAATGTCTGCCAATAATTATGACAAATTTATGACAACTCCAGTTTTTCAAATACATGTATATGTAATTTTGGTGCTTAATATATGTATCAGAGACAAACAAATAAGTATAACTTATTTTTGTTTATATATGGCGTATGATACGACAATAAACATTCACAGCAATGATTCTTAAGAAAAACTCTCTACTTCAGCCCAATAGCGCGTCATGGTTACCACTGAAGGAAGAGCCACACTCGGGTTAATTTTTCAAACTTAACATAATTTTTAGCTAAATCGCAGAAAAAAGCTATTGTCATCGTATTATTTTTGTTTTCAGCAGTGCAACTTAAAGTTGGAGGTACAGACCAAGCCTGTTGTAGCGAAATCAGCTTCTGGTAAATAATAGTCAGCTTATTGTATAGTCTATAAATAGTCCCTTTATAATCCATATATGAAATATAAAATATGGATATTTTTCTGGGGAATAACAAACCATCGAAAAAGTCCATAATTGGAAAATAAAGATAATGAAAAAAAATTACAGTTCTGTAATTTGACTTAAATTAGAATAATACATAAATATAGATCAATCTTCTTTTCGCTGAAAGAAAAATTTAAAAAAAGGTAAAATCACATGCACTACACTGATGATGCAATACACCCTAGCATATATTTTTATAATGTTTATATTTTCATAATGTCATTTTTCATACATGTAAATGTCTAATTTCAAACATTTGGGTAAATTTCTGAGAAAAATTCAAATAGCAAAAATATTTTATTACATTTCGAACAGTGAAATACTGTGATTTAGTAACTATGAAAGGAAGAAGGGGCCTTTCCAAGAGGTGTCCCCCTTGTTTTTTTCCTCAGATATTTAAGGTTAAATGTGATGGGAAGAAGTTTTTACCCCCCCCCCCCCCACGTGTAAGGTTAAGTCGAATTGGATTTCGTACAAGTTATTTTTTCACCCTATAAATTCTTTACATTGATAACATATTGTTTAGTTCTTAGGAAACAGTTAAAAAACACTTTAAAACAATATTATAATCCATATAAAATAAAATCTTAAAATTTTATTCATAAATTTCAAAATCATTTGCTGCGGAGTTGCTAAAGATTCAAGATGTCGCTCAAACAGGCAGTTCACGAAAGTAGGCTAATGTTTTTCAATGTTAAATGTTCCCTAAAAGAAGGTTTAAAATAATTTGCGCTGATGAGCTTAATATTTAAGAGTAGCACTCTCTGTCTAATAGCGTATGCCAACAGGGAGCACCTATGAGTTGCAAACTACAGCTGTTCTTCCAAAATGTCAACTTAATATTTATAAGCATTCGTACGATCGATATTGCCAAATATTTTACTCTTATTACGCATAAATCATAAAGGCGATAATGTGACGGTTTGCAAGTAAAAAATAATTAGCATATGAATAAATAAATGATACCAATATGAGACAAAATTCAGCGAATGAAAAATAAACGTCTCGATTCAGTCTGAGTTTCCTCTGTCCAACTTCCCCTCCCACCTACACTTGCAGACAACAATTTATTCACTTGAATCCATGCCATCAAAATATATGTTATGAATTACTAATTTAGGCAGTGTAATTGGTAAACTGTAATTTATCCCTATGATTAAATTACATTGAATTATGCTACTGTAAGAGACTTAGAGTGGGTTAAGGACTGTCATTGACAAATATTTGAACACTCTCTGTTATAGCACATACTAATTCATCCGAGTTACCATGTCCTGATGTTGAATTTTGCCAAAATGCAATGTAGAAAGGGATGTCACACCATTCGTCTTACTGTATGAATATGACTCTTTGGGTAGCTCTGTAAGGTCTGCACAGTTTAGGGAATTTGGAAAAATGCTGTAGGAATTCATTTTTATTAATGATCATTTCTCTAATGCTTTCACTTGAAGCCTTGAAATTGTTAAGAAAATTATCACAACCTATAAAATTACTTGAATTTTCTTTATTACTCTCATTTGATAAAGGATCTCACACTTAGTACATATACATGTACTATGAAAAAAAAAAGACATCTTAAGTTTCATGCAAATAATATAACAATTGCACACAATCTCAGGATTGAAGTATTTGTCAGAGAACAATATATTTAGTCAATACCATAGTATTTATTCATTAATCTTTTTTTTTTACAGAGATTATGTCAGATGTTGTCCAAGCAGTAAAAAAGAACGGAGAATGGAAGGTAATGATAGTAGACCAGCTGAGTATGAGGATGATATCAGCATGCTGTAAGATGCACGAGATCATGTCAGAGGGAATAACATGTAGGTTTATTTTGTTTACCTTGATTTAAGGCCATTCCAAGTTTTTTCTCTGTTTAGTGTCCACCCATATTTCAATAATCTACCTACATATTCGCAAAAAAATACACACAAGCCAAAAAATATACACAGACTTTTTAGTCATAAAAATGACATCATTCAAAGGATTGGATTTCACTAATCTATTTTTCTTGTTGAAAGATATATTTATATTTTTTTTTAGCAAAATCAAGGTATTAAATGCTTAAAATATACCTAATATGTAGGGCTGTCACGAGTACCCGAAATAACCGAGAACCGTGGTCCAAGTTGTTCGGTTCGGTTCCGGTTCCATTTTTCCGGATTTCAGTTCGGGTCTGGTTTATATATTAGAGTCTGTTCAATACAAAAAATGGCGTCGAAATCAAAGGAATGATGACGATAACAGTGATGAATAAACATCACAACTGAAATCTACTTCATTCCATGACAAAACACTTGTCACGGAAGTATTAGATAATTATCAAAACGAGCAGGAATGGTCAGGATGTGGCTATTAGTAGGCCAAGTCACTGATGTCTAGATGTTCGCATGGTTAAGACTTGTTTTCAATGTAAATTTAATGTAACAAATAAAGATTTTTCAAGTTAAATTCATGAAATTAAGGTTTAAAATAGTTGTAAATACCCGACCTGAAAAACCCGAAACCGAACCGAAAATTTACAGAACCGACCCAACCCGAAAAATTTTGGAACCGTGACAGCCCTACTAATATGACAAACTGTAGACAGATATTTTGAGAAATTGATAGAATTCAAAGATTTTTTATTAGAATAATCAATTTCAGGACTCCTGATTTTGTTCGTTTTTTCTGATATGAGGTGTCAAAAACCAAGGAGCACGCGGACACTAAACATAGAAATAACTTGGAATGGCCTAAATAATGAAGGTTGAAAGTGCTCTTTTCTTTTATTTAAGGACCATTGCACAATAGAGATAGATAAATTTTAGTATTCTATTAAATATTTTTTTTATCATTTTAATTTGCTGAAATAGAACTAGTGCAAATTCACACTATGTACTGTAGATAAGTAAATTTTCGTGACACCTTATTTTCGCAAGGTAGACATTAACTCCTTATTAGCGAGACAAAATTTTCACGAATTGGGGTCACTCAGGGTTCGAAATTAATGGGAAATACTCGCTAAATGCGAATTAAAAACAGAAATTGCGAGTGAAAAGCGACCTGTAGTCGTCAACTTTTGCGAGTAAAAAAACCCCCGGACTTTTTCGGATTTTTTTCCCAATTTATTCCAAGGATGTGCAATAAGCATTGCCTCACGCCCAGGGCTACCATTTTTGGGGGGTCTGGCTAGTGATTTTATGCATAGACGAAGCCCCTTGGGCTAGTTAAAATTAAAATTACCCATGTAGTACATAAAAAGCACCACAGGTATTTTTATTCATTTTTGTGCTATTAAATTTCCAAAAAATTAAAAAATATCCAGGTAGTATGCTCCTAGAGTTCATAAATCTCCATAATCTTATCCATTTTGTAGTACTATTTGACTTATTTACTTCAGAAATGATTGTTTTTTTTCCTAAACTGAATTTCCTCCATTTCTTTGTTTATGGTAAATACATGTAGTTAACCATGATAACCAATTCAATTATTTACGATCACTTAATCAACTAGAGAAAAGGTGTTATGTGATTTTCAAAAAAATATATTTCCAGTGTTAGGATGCAAAACAAAAAAAAACAACAAAAAAACAAAAAAGATTTTCGCTTCAGTTTAAATGAGGTAGTGCAATGACCAGAAAAAAGAAGATGATTTATTTTTAAATTCATTTTTTTTTTAATTTTCAATCATAATTATTGATTTATATACGATTCAATTTTTCTAATGAGAATTAAACTTTAATTTTATAAAGAATGACCTTAAGACCCTGACTTTTTCAACAACAAACTATTTTTCATTGTTAGTTGTTACTTTTCCCCCCTATGTTTGAGCTAGTAATATTTTTTACTTGGGGCTAATGATTTCATTGCTTCACCCCTGTATCCGTTTAGATTTCATCTTGTTTAAAATGACCTAAATTAACCCACAAGGTGTAAATTAGTTTTCTATTAAATTATTCAAATAATTAACTCCTATGTTAAAATTACTATGTGAAGAAAAAAAATTTTAATGCTAGTGAAAGTTCAATATTGCTAGTAAAAATAAATTCCACTAGCTAAAATTTGCTAGTGGTCAAAAAAGTTAATTTCAATCCCTGACTCTGCTCTATATAATCTTTGGGAATGCTAATATACACGAGAATGATATTTTAGCGAGCACAGTGCCTCATGTAATTATGTTAAAATAAAGTTCTCGTGAATAAAACATGATTTACAGTATAGCCTAACTGTGTTTAACTCATGAATTTGAGGTCTGGAAATTCATGTAAAAAATGAATACCTTTCACTCTGTTTCTACCAAGGTCAGATGAAATTCTTAATCATTCTTACCGGTATTTATAGGGCTGGGAGGATATATCGAGATATCGATAATATTGATTCAATGTGAGGATAATACGCGTATCGATGCCTATGAAGAAATATCGAAATATCACAGAATATTTCTGACTTATTTTTTTTCTTTGTTTACTTAACATTTTGGATTAAATATATAAAATAAATATGCAAAATATAAATATGAAATACATAATAATAAACACCACTTGTGTAAAAGAATTTTGTTTTACAACAAATACATGTAAACAACTTCTTTGAATAAATTAATCTTATTTTTGTGAAGAAATATTGTGTTCGTTTCAATACAAAAAACATTTTGTAACTAATTCAACATATTGTGATACATATCGTATCATGCTTCAAATATTGTGATACGTATCGACATAGAAAATGTTGTAGCATCCCAACCCTACTTATTAAATGAAGAGTTGAATAGAAAAAAAAATCCCTTTATATTCATAAGTTGTCAGACATATTATGGTATATACTATATGAGTGTGCACTTAAGCTTTTGTCTTAATATGCAGTGGTTGAAGATATCAACAAGAGAAGGGAAAGACTGCCTAAACTAGATGCTGTTTATTTGATAACACCAACAGAAAAGGTATGAAAATGAAGTTCTGAGTATCACATTTATTTTGTGAGAACTTAATGTAATTACACGTTTTAGTGAGACAAAAATTCTTTTCAATAACCATGAGAACTGTCTCTCAATTTACTGCACAGAGATGCATAAGTCATGCCTTGTTACTAAGTGTAATACTACTGTCTTGCAACATTTATATATTTTACAGTAATATGCACATTGAGGTGTGTTAAGGGAATCAATATTGTGCATACTTTTTTTTTCTTGTTTTAGTCTGTTAATTTATTGAAGCAAGATTTTAGTCACCCCACCAACACCCAGTATAGATCAGCACATGTCTATTTTACAGAGGGTGAGTGATAGGAAACAATAGGAAAAAGTAACTCATTTAAAAGTTTATTGATGAAAAAAATATAGACTTCATTTGGAAAATTATTATGGTTTTTTTTTTGTTTGTTTGTAATCTGTTTCAAATAAAAAAATTAACAGGATTATTTTATGTGGTCAGTTGTTTTTTATTCCTATTAATTAATAATAATCAGGAATATACTTCACGTGACTAAAAATGTAATTTGAGTCATATTAATTTGGGAAAAAATATATTCTATTTTTAGCATGCCCAGATGTTCTTTTTAATGAACTGTGCAAGTCAACAGCTGCTAAATACATAAAAACTCTCAAGGAAATCAACATAGCTTTTCTCCCATATGAATCACAGGTTAGAGTACATTCCGTGCCGATTCTGAATTTATTTATCTTCTCAAGGCTCTTTAATGAAATTAGAACTATTTTTATTCAAAAAAAAGTTGTGGTATTTTCATTGATAGAACCAATATCGTGCAGAATTATTTAGTCATCAAAATGCATGGAAACATGTATCTGAGGATAGTACTGGTAATTTCCAATATAAACCATGGCTATTTGTGGTTCAAAGATGCAATTATAGTCATGGAACCTGACATTCACATTCCAAATTTTGAATAAGCTTTTCTACTTTAATTTTATTTGCTCTGGTATGAAAATATAGGTAGAGTCCTGTCTCTGGTTTAAAGAGATAAAGTAATAATTAGACTAATTAATTTGTCTTTTGAAATTAAGCATTTGCTTGTTTTACTGTTATCATGTTCTCTTCCTGTCCTCTGATCTTAAATCCAGACTGTAAATTCCTGGGATACACTTTTCCACAATTGTGACTTGTAGGTCTATCACCTGGATTCTGCGGAGACATTCCAGTATTATTACAATCCTTTGAGACAGTCTGGACGAACTATGAACTTAGAACGCTGTGCTGAACAGATTGCTACGCTGTGTGCGACTCTTGGAGAGTACCCCAGTGTCAGATATAGAAGGTAGGTTTGTCAAAAATGAGCTCGATATTTCAGCATGTACATGTGCCTTAAGTTTAAAAGTTTTGATTTGTTTCAATTTTAATTTTTTTAAGGTTTATGAAACTAACAGCTTAATGAGCTGTAGAGCAGTTGTATAGACTTTCCCTAAGAAATCAGTGGATCAATGTTTCATTCAAAATGAAAACTGTTGCTCTTCATGACTGTTGCTGCTTTTCAGCAAAATGATATTCCTGCAAATTTTTATATCTGTAGTATTCCAATAAAAGAAAAAGTGAGAGGAAAATAAATGACTGTGAAATAAGTAAAGTTACTGTTGTAATTTTTAAACTTGTTGTCAGTATGTACTTTACATAAGTTGGCTAAATGAAAAATTGAAGATCGAATTATTTGGACAATGAATTAGCAAGCATCGTGACTAGGTAGTGCACATTCAATCTTGTTCAGTTTATGGCCTAGAGGATATTGTAAAATCTCAACATGCCATTACGTTTATTTGCAGTGACTTTGACAGGAATGCAGAGTTTGCTCAGATGGTTCAGCAGAAGCTGGATGCATACAGAGCTGATGATCACACTATGGGAGAGGTAGGACTGTTTTGAGGCATGGATTATTGAATTTACATGTAACTCGGACATACGAGATACTGTAAACCTGGATATTAATGTGTGTTGTTAAATGCACAAATTAGTAGCAAAAACTACACTTGAGGGTTCTTTCTGCAATACCAGGATAATGTATTGTTAATACTGAATAAATTCATGTACTGAAGATTAATACTCTAGGGAATGTTCAGGTGAAAAATTTGGTATTGCACAACTAGCTTAATTTACTTCCATGCCAAAATTTCCATGTTTACAATATTTTTGGTTTCATAATTTTTCAAACTCTGTTCGATTCCATCATGAGGGATCTTGTTTGACATATTTTTCATAGTGTTGATGAAATACATTTAAATGGCAAATATTTTGGGCTGTAAATCATAAATTCATATCCTGAATTCTAATTTTATCAGGGACCACAAAAGGACCGATCTCAGCTTCTAATTATAGACAGAGGATTTGATCCTATCTCCCCTCTACTTCATGAACTGACTTTTCAAGCCATGGCTTATGATCTTTTACCAATTATTAACGATGTTTATAAGTAAGTTCTTTGAACAAATGCAAATCTTAAAAATATTCATTGATATTAATCATCATTTTTAGCCACAATTAGTCAGCATTACAGTCCAGTAAAACAAGTCTTATTAACTGAGCTAGAGTTGTCACCCTTTGTGACAGATGTCTGTTTTCACTTGTACATACACATGTAAACCTAATATTTTTTATGTGATGTTTTATATAGGTATGATAATACTAGTGGAGAAATTCATGAGAAAGAGGCTCTCCTTGATGAAAATGATGAGTTATGGGTCGGTTTGAGACATCAGCACATCGCAATTGTATCTCAGTAAGTCAATCTCAGAATTCATTCTCTAATTGTTGTCAGTAACATGATATCTCATGACTGTAAAGTAATATTTTGAATAAATTGATGATTATTCCTTTTTTCTTTGAAAAGGCAAGTCACAAAGCAATTAAAACAGTTTGCACAAGACAAACGCATGAATGATGGGGAGAAAGCTAACATTCGTGATCTGTCCCAGATGTTGAAGAAGATGCCGCAATACCAGAAGGAACTCAGTAAATACTCCACACATCTCCACCTGGCAGAGGACTGCATGAACAAGTACCAGAAACATGTGGATCGATTGTGTAAAGTGGAACAGGTGAGGGGGTTTTTACACTGTAAATTGTATTAGCTGATGAGGTGAGGCATTATTTTTTGTATCATACTGCATGTAGAATGACCAGTAAGGATTTTTTTTTTTTACCAGATTGAGATTTTTACTGGGCTGAAGATTAGACAGTAACATTAAAAAATTAAGTTTATTTCTTCATTGTAACAGTAACATGCAATGAATTCTGATTTGAAAAGTGTTTTATAAGATCAAATCTTAATCTAATTGATTAGTGTTGTAAAGATAGAAAATGTTCTTATGAATATTATCAACATTTAATATATTCCATTCTGAAACCATAAGTCATCTCAGACAGACAGTTGTAATGAGCTGATGTTTCTGATTTTAGGACTTGGCCATGGGAACAGATCCCGAGGGAGAAAAGATCAAAGATCACATGAGAAACATTGTACCAATACTTCTGGACCAGAACATTATGGCTTACGATAAAGTCCGCATCATTCTACTCTATGTCATCCACAAAGGGGGTAAGATCAGTCAGATAAGGTTTTCAGAGGCATAAAAGAGTTTGAACAAAAGACCAGTGCATACTCTTTATCGTAGTGCATAAGACCAAAACAAAGACCCAATAGCTTTTTTCAAACTGATACTTAGGAAGATAAACATGACTTTTGTTGCAAAGGTATGTAGACAGTCACAAAGAAATTTTTTAAAGATTTTTCATTTTATATTTATTGTGTTCTTTTATCACTATAGTGTCACTATGATACCAGACTAAGCCATAGTGTGAAAGATTGCTGAAGGTTTTTAAGATCTGAAATAAAGATTTGAAACACATAGGCAATTAAAAGTGTTTGGTTGTTTATTTTTTGTAGATAAATACTTGATAACCAAGCAATAGTTTGATGTATTGGAATAACTTTTGTAGGAATAACAGAGGAAAACCTGGCTAAGCTTGTGCAGCATGCCCAAATCCCAATGGACGTGAAATGTATCATAAATAACATGCAGAACCTTGGAGTCCCAATCATTCAGGATGTAAGTAGCCAGCGCAGCTGTTCGTGCAACAGTAGTGTAGATGTAGGTATTTTTGTAAAGAAAGTGGGTTTTTTTGGGGTGGTACACATTTTTAGAGCACTCCATACAATTTGATGACTGAAATTCCTTGAAAATCTACTGTATAAGTTTTGTTTTAGAATTTTTTGCACTATATATTTTTTCTCTAAGGTCTTTTACCCCAATTTTCAAACACATTTTGAAAATTATATTTGTATTCAAGTACTTAAGCATTCACTATAGCATTCAATGAATCATTGACAAGGAGTGTAAAAAAAGAAAACATCATTGCAAAAAGGACATCAAGGATTTGTTAAATACTTACCATGAATGAAGGTTTACGTTTTTGTGCACCTAAGTTTTAATTCATATAAAGATCTGCTAAACATTTGCATGCCTCAGCCACAAGGTAACAAAACGTTTAGTGTGGGATTAATCGAGGATTATGGGACGTTTCAGGTGAGAGCAGGATTCAATGTGTCCAGACTCTGCTCACAGATCAGTTGTCTCCCTTTCCAAGTTGATCTGTATCGCTGCTATGCTGTATAATTATGTAATATTTTTTGTGTGAACAAAGTCATAACTTTGACCTTTTCTAACAATTATGCATAATTGTAAAGGGTTCAAATATCTCAGGGAAATGAAATACCATCATTAACTCAAAGTATGGAACTGAAATGTGTGCACAGAAAGGACTTTTTTGTCTTTTTCTTTCTTTTTTATTTATTGGCTGTTGCTCGGTGAATGGGGTTCTACTGGTAGAATTTATTCATATTTTTAATTAATAGCGATTAAAATTTCCCAGTGTCCCTGTGTTTTTTCATCACAGTAGACTAGGTTTTTTGTAAAATAACACTGTACATGTAAATCTAGATATTTTTCACTACTCCCCATATTGTCAGAACTTTATGATGTTTTCTTGTAGAAATGAAGTATTAATGTTCCATAGATGTAGTGTCCTTTATATCTGATTTTGTTAGCAGTATTAGAATCACAACGTCTGTTTCTGCCTACCATCAAACAATAAACCATGTATTTTGATCAGTCATTTATGTTTTTTATCCACCTTTTTATAGATAGTTGAAACAGAAAAGAAAGACATAAAAAATAAGTTGAAAAAGGCCCTGGTATCGGTATGTGAAGAGAATCATTCCGTCTGCCGTGTGCTACCAATCTTCCCGTTTACTAACAGTCAACAAATTTACTGCATCAATCTCCTATTTCTTTTCAGTCTTGAGAATTATGCAAGCCAATTGCAAAGTAGCACCTTTGCATGCAAACCTTTAATGATCTGTGTTCCTAAAAAATACTGTTACATACAAATCAATGAAATCGAGTCCACTGATCTCTCTTTAGATTGATAATATAGCCTGTTTGAAGTTTTACCTACTAGTATTTAACTTGACAACATTGGTAACAAATGGAAAAAGGATTCATGATGCAGTTTATTTAATATGTTTGATAACAAGAATTCCAAATCCTAATCCATTAATAATGCACAGGTTAAATATACTTACCTAGTTAAAATATATATTACATGAATTGGGGAGCAGAGTGTGTTCATGCATATTAGGCTTCTTATTGCTATGGTTACTGTTGTAAAAGGTAATGTTACAGTTAGATTGTAAGAAAAACATTATATCTGGTAGATTGCAAGTATGTTTGTGTTTTAAGTTTTGTCACTTGAGTCTCACAGGTGACTTACTGTTATTTGTTCCTGTCTGTTATTGTGCAATGTCCATCAGTCTTAAACTAATAATTTCAGGTTCTTTTCCAAACAACTGAACCACAAAATTTAATATATAGCATCTGTGGGTGAAGATGAAAAATTTAATTGTTACTCTGTCATCATATCTGTCCATTTTTTTTTTTTATATCAAACTTGGAATGATAGATAAGAAATGGAGTTTGACTAAATGTTTATACTTAACACAAAGGTTGTTAATGACCCAAGAGTCAACCAAAGCAGTGATTCAATGTTATTCTTACAAGGTCAAGGTTCATAGGAAGGAAAAGGTATGAAATAAATTCTTTTGCTATAATTCAGGATCAGAGAAATATGGAACGTTTGTTTTCCAAAAAAAATATTGATGACAGGATGTGGTCATGAACTTCCCTGGATCTCATTTTAACAAGATCAAAATCACTAGATTGATTGTTTGATTGTAATTTTATGTTCCTATGCAAGTTTATTTCACTCATACAAGACTTCACCAGATGCTGGTGTAAGGCTTCAAATTTAGACATTTACTTGGCACTCAGGGTCATGGAACAGTGAGGGTTCTTTAGCCTGTTAATGCCTGCTGTGGCACAGGATCTCAGTTTTCAAGGTCTTATCTAAAACACTTGCATCTTTCACTTCAGAGTGCTGAGGGTTAGGTAAAGAAACAGTTCCTACCTATTTTTTTATCAACTTGGGTTTTTTTTAACCCATGACTTGAAGAAAAACATGAGAATTTTTAGGCAACCAACATGAAAAACTTGTCTGTGCTGAAATGCTCTTGAGGTTCAGGTGACTGTCAAGGCCCATGGGCCTCTTGCTATAGATTGTATAGTGATTGAAAGCAGGTGAGTAATGTACTAATGTAGCAATTAAAGAATTTTTCACCACACCTGATCATCATGTACATGTTTAGAGACTGCAATGAAAGAGCAATTATTTTCAGTTACCAATTGTCACAATTGTTGCATGGTAGTAGATACATGGAATGCAGATTTCTTCCCTTGGATTCTAATCAGACTCTTGTTTTAGATTTGTTTTTCATATTTCTTTCACTGTGAAAAAAAAATTATCTTAAATTTCAAAAATTTGATTAGAAACAGTATGTTGCTTTGCTGGTGGCTGAAATCTTAACACTCTCCTCACAATTTTGGCAGTAGAATCTTACTATGAAGGGCTACATAGTTCTGTTGAGATTATGTATTATCCATGCTTTTAATGAGACTCAAAGGGAAGCATTTGTCTCTTGCCTGATTAGTATTTTGATGGGTTTATTTGGTGTAGAAATCTTTATAGCATGAACTATGTTAGGCCTGGTGACCATTGTGAAAGCATAGGATGCTTCTGTGTTTTAAGATATGTGCATCATCACACAAGGACAATGCTCTGGAGTTTTTTTAAATTTAATTTTTAGTATGATTAAAGATTTTGACATTTATTCTCTTTTTTAAAATTATATATTAGATGTAGTAAAATCAAAGTAAGACCTGTAATTTGACAGGGAGGGAAGAAGAAGTCACAGCCCTATCAACCATTTAACAGGAAAACCAAGATTGCTGAGAACACATACCAGATGTCCCGCTGGACTCCCTATGTCAAGGACATCATGGAGGTAGGTTAAACAATAAACATGTACAGTAAGATTTTGTTATCTCAAACTTGATAACTTGATAAGACCAAAATCTGAAGATTTGAGATATTGAGGTTTAATATATTAAAAGTAGTTTGAGACTTCAAACTCAGTTCAACATATCCATGGTATTCGAGATACTGATGTTCAAGATACTGAAGTTCAACTGTATTAAAGCCTAACACAGCTCGTAAATACAGGTGACTCTCGATGGCTCGAACTCCGATCTCTCGAAGTTCTCGATCTCTCTGATGTGAACCTCCGGTCCCGTTTTTTTCCTCAATATAACTAAGCAAATTTACTTCTGATCTCTCGAACTTCCGATCTCTCGAAGTTCTCTATCTCTCGAACCAAGAAATGGGTCCCGTTATACACATTTCATTGTTTTTTACTCTATCTCTCGAAGTTTTGATTGCGCGTGTGTAAACGCCAATCAAGCATAAAATTAATGCAGCTTGGACTTACCTGGATAACAGTGAACGCCTGGGTCTGACATGGAGGTGTTAATTGGGTGTTTACATAGATGACACTATACTTATGAGCATCCGAGTATTGATATACATGTAATTAATTAGTTATAATTGGTTAATTATAAACGAATTGCTTCACAACTTATTTTGACTTGACAGCAAGACGATAATTTTTAGAAAATAAGTTAAGGGACGTGTCAATAATTTTCCAAAGATTACGAAGTTTTATTAGAGTCTACATAATCCCAGTAAGACAAACATTGCACAAGAAATCCTAGCTCAAGAATTGAATACCGATTTAATACGAGAAATCTGGTGAAGGACCCGATCAAGCCCGGGGGGTAGCCACACCGACGATTGCTATTCAGGTTTCATGTTATCATGAAATGAGAAAAAATATATATTGAAACTTAAACAGATCGTTTTATTTATTCAAAATATGATCATTGTTGTTGAAGTCAAGTGAATTAGCTGTAAAAAACAAATGAAAATGTGCAATGACATTATCAACATATACTTCCGGTATTTATAATAGTAGAACAATGAAGATCGGAACTGAAAATTCCGGATTTTATTCACTATCTATCTCTCGAACCCCTTGATCTCTCGAACTTTAATTGCGGTCCCTTGAACTTCAAGAGATCGAGAGTCACCTGTATCTGTGCTACTGATTTATTTTTTTGTTAACCTTTTCTCCTGTCCTGGAAAAAGCATGCAGTGGTTAATATTTTTCTACCCGGTATTTACATATACAGTGCAATGTAGGGTACGTCCACACAGTCGAAACTTGGAAAGCTTATGACATTGAACTGAGACCAAGTGAACGACTTGTATAGGGGCTCTAGAACATCGAGAAATGAAGAAAAATATGTTGCACATGTATAAATTCTCTACCTTTTATGAATCCTGTATAGCTTTAATGACATCACTGCAGAACAATAAATCACACACGCTCAATAAATATGTAAATTTGTATTGCCTCTTTGTACCTGCACTCATTTTTGAAAAGAAGAAGCAACACTCGGAGATGGCATATATAGTAGGTATATGAGATTGCTTATATACAGCCTACTCCACTTATGTTGAAATTGTTTAATATATTGAATTGTCACTTAATTTGAATTAAACAAGGGCATTGCAAAACAGAGCATCCCCTTGCAAAAAAGCACATAAATTATGTATCTTCTGTTATTCACGCACTCACTCACCCACACACACAAGTGTGTTACTATATCCCTTCCAACTTTGTTGCAAGGGGATAATTGTCCACTGAGGTGAAGAAAAGTTGTTTTAATAACACTTGTATTGAAGTTCGCCTGGCCATTCATCATCACAGTTGATTGTAATTATACAGGTAGATGCTAAGGTGACAGTATATATATATTCACCTGATATGTTTCCATTGCATGTTTTTATTATAAGAAATAAAGTACTAAGGGGTATCTTGTTCTCTCCGACCACGTTTCGACAGCACCTTTGAATGCGCTTAAGTAAATGGTTAAATCAGAAGAAAAACTAGATGCAATCTCGTTGGAAAGCAAAGAGTAGGTCTTCCATTCAATTTCTGATGGAAAAGGGTCTTCGATAGGTGAAAAGCAACAATTCTTGAGAGAAATGTCACCTAAAACATTTGCAATATATTTAAAAAAAAATCAGACCTAAGTTCTTTTATTTTCTAAATTACTTCCGGTTCTTCTAAAGTCACATCCAGTTGTGACCAGAAGTGTTATAAACACACATATATTGCACATTTAGCATATATGAACCATCCCTAAAAGTTTCTATGAAAAATACTCAATTTTAGGTTACTTCCGTTTTCTGTGAGCAGCACTTCCGGTGAAAATTATATGACTTTTAACATTCGTCAAGACTCTGTCATGAACATGTAAATTTGTTTAAAAAATGAAAAAAATTAAAAATTCAATATTTTAAAACTACTTCCAGTGGACAGTGGAAGTTACGCCCAAAAAAATGAAAACCCATATGTCACATAGAAGTTAAGATCTATTATCCCTGAAAGTTTCGTAAATGAATCTTAAACCGTTTTTGAAAAAACACCTGGACAAAATTGCATTTTAAAATCAGTAAATCGGCCATAACTTGCGATTGGAAGTGACGTCGGTAAAATGATGAAAAATGATCAAGTCCATTTCATTTACCATCATTTCTGAAAGTTTCATGAAAATCCATTGAGGTGTTCTCGAGAAATCATCTGCAAAGATTAGGTAGGAAAAATAATAAAAGTAATAGTGAAAAAAAAACCAACAGAATAATAAGAAGGTCTTTTGTTGAGGACAGAAGACTTTAAAAACATCTTTAGATAATTTTAGATAATTAAAATGAATTAATCTCTGACAAAGGTAAAAATGTAATATCTAAATAAAAAGTAGCATGGGATTTTGGGATAAGGAATACCAAATCCCTATGCTCATGCATCGTGTAAATATCCAATTATTCAAAAGGGAAAAAAAAAAATTTTGTATCCACAGGAGGCTGTAGATGATAAGTTGGACTCCAGACAATTTCCCTTCCTGTCAGGTGGGGCCCCAAGATCTGCTGGGGGATACAGAGGACCCCCAATCAGGTAAGCATTACACTTAATTTTAAATCTTATCTCTTAGGCCTAGAAACAAAATGTGTTTGTTAGAGACGCTTTCCCAACAGACCCTAATTTATATCACCAACTCTATTATTTTTTTCTCTTAAGAAAGTGGTAGCAAATGCATTTTATGCAAATATGAGGGTTGTTCGAAAAGTTCATGGACTGATGTGATAAAATTAATACTATGTAGTCTATGCTTACAAAATTTTTAATGAACATAAAACAACAAAAGTTAAAGAAATGTTGAAAATTTTGCTTGATACCTTGAATATTTACCAAATTATCATAAAATAAAAAAGACATTATATAATCACCTGTCGCCATTTAGTTTCATGACGTCATTGTTTTTCAATGTCCGCATTCTCTACCTCATACACTTATCTTGATGAGTTTTCTTGGAGTTAAGTAAGGATTTAAACCCGTCTTGTTTATATGATTTTACAATGTCATAAAGAGCTGATTTCAATGCATATGATATTGTAAACAAATCTGAAAGATGCTCACTTGATTATAACAGCATATTTGCTTGTCGGGGTTCAACATCTATCACACATGATCAACTCCACTTTTCGACATGACAAACTTTGAACACCCTTACTACAAATCGACATTAACTTTTACATCTCTCGTCTCTCTAATCTTTTTCGGCATTTAAAAACAAGTACTTTGAATGCATTTTATTTTTCAGTAGCCTATTTAAATATTTCCTAGGTCTATGCCAGTTTTTTCCAGAGAGTGAAACTTTATAGAATGTTGGAAAAAGAAACCCACCCCCCTTTCTGACGTCATTACAACCCCATAATTGTTTGGACATTTCATATAAATTTTACAATAAAATTTCATAGAACTTACAGAATGGGGTAAAAGTTGCAAATTTTATGGTACAATTGTGCCATACCACATGAATGAATTAACAGGATTTTTGAATGACAAATGCTCATATCAAAAAGAGAGTTTTTTTCTAAGTTACACCTAGGTAGAAAAAACGTGATCTTCGAGGTTGCACCGCCTGGACATACCATTGCTTTCAAAAACATCAACAATTTATTTAAAAATAAAACTAATGATGTATATTTTATTATATAAATAAAAAAGATGATGCTAATTGAACGTTAAAAAATTCATTGATGTATCTTAAGCGGTTTTAATTTTATGGCACTAGTCCACGAACTTTCCGAACAACCCTCGTATATGTAACTATAAATATACAATCGATAATGTATTAGTTTTAACACAATAATATCTTTGGTGTTTCCATCTTTTATTTTTTGCTTAATGGTTTTAATGGGTTTATTACCAAATCAGAAGTTAAAACATTTACAAATGGTTTGCCATGTGCTTCACAGGTATGTATTTACACTTCAGAGACACCAAAAAGTGGTTTTCGCAACAAAATATTTTCATAACAGTATTTACAACTTTGTTTTTCTTTACTTCAAATTGTACTTTGTAAAATGTTAAAACTACCAAAAGCATATTACAAGTATTTCAGTTTGTGCATGATGTAAACATGAAAATGTCTCCTGTCCCTATAACAGTTTAAAACCTGATGAATATCATCAGTGAACATTTTAAAATACCAGTAGTTTCAATAAGTACTGTATACAGGGAAATTTGGAGCAAATTCAAAAAACACAGTTTTATTTCTTGAACAGAACTGTGATTGGGTGAAGAACTACGCACGCTAACTCTCGATTCCCGCCTACATTTTACACCCATTTAATTCAATACTGATGGCAATTTGGCCATAAAATCTTTGTTGAATACAAAGAAGAGTTCAATGGTAATTGATTAATAATTTAAACACCAGTATTAAATAGTTAATTACTCTTAATTCCAGCTCTTTTTATAATGAGGGTAGACGATATTTTCCATTGAAATCAGACATGAAAGCATCAACATACTTAAAAATATTTTTGGATATGGGTAAATGTTCTTTAAATCTTTCCTTATGTTTTTTGCATATAAAATTAAACATATGTAATTAATAAAATACAACGTTTAAGTTGTAAACTCCTTCGAAATTGGTGAAAAAATGAGCATTTTTATCGTTTTTTGTCTGTAAACATATGTTCCCCCCCGTGAAACACAAAAACCTTTGGTGTGAATTTGTGAAATAACAATCCATATTACCTGTAAAAAGGAATTTTTGTTTCACGGGGGGGAAAGATGTTTTAAAAATATTTTCCGTTTTCCGCTGATTTCTATAGTGAAAAACACCAGTTTTACCAAAATTATGGAGTTATCTCTCTTTGTTTTCCCTAATAAGTAATGTTTTATGAAAATTCATATAAATATCTATATAAATATGAAAAATCATTCAAATATGTTAACTTTTGAAAATTGACTTGGAGGTAGGCGGGAGAACAATACTATCGTTCGCAGTTCTTTAAAATGGGGCAAAATTATTTACAAGTATGAAAGGGCAAAAATAACACTGGGTGAAAATAACCCTGTATACAGTATTTTCATAGAGCAATCACAAACATACTAGTATGAAAGTTAAATACAGTGTATTGGGATCACCATGATACAAATATTGAAGTTCACTGGGAGTGGCTGGTAAAAAGCTTGTGCCAAGGTGTATACAACTCTCTTTTATATTGAAAATTAACAAAAATTAGAAATATCTGCCCTTGTCAAACTGTTCTCGCATCATGAGTTACTTCTTATATTTCAGTGCTCGATATGGACACTGGCATAAAGACAAAAGCCAAGCAGGCTACAAAAGTGGACCACGGTTAATTATTTTCATCATTGGGGGTGTGGCATACTCAGAGATGAGGTGTGCGTACCAGGTGACACAGGCATGCAAGAACTGGGAAATCTTAATTGGTGAGTAATTAGGTAGTGATGGGATGTTGTGTCTATAGTGTTACAATATACGTAATATTATTTCCTGTTCGTGTGTTTTGTAGATGTCTTCATTAACCTTCAATTTAAGACATAATTTTGTAACATAACCTTTCATAATGGCAGTGTAAAATGTAAAATATGATATCAGAATAATACAAATTGCTTCCAGATGAATAAGTGGTAGAGTGTAAATGGACTTTCAGAATGGATTTCCGATTAATGGATGTTTAAATTCGCCCACTTTCTACATACATTTAAATCTCTGTTTAAATGATATTATTTTATTACTGTATTCTAATTACACTTGTTAAGATGCAGATAAATCTTGTTGACATGTTATTGACACCTCCTTTAGTGTTGAATTTGATTTTTCTGATGACTTTGATTTTTCCATTTGACTTTCATGATAGTATTGTGATATGCAGGGACATAATTCTGTCCTGTTTCTGTGAATAATGGTTTGATTATGTGTATTACGTGAATATTGATTTGTTTTAATCGTTTGTTGAATGAGAACTTTTAATCAGGGAAATTTGTTCTTTTATGTGGCAGATCCTAGTGCATATTTACTCATTATGGAAATTCTAACTAAAAATTAAAAATATGGCAAATACTTTTTACTTAGTTTTCTGAATTTCTTTATTACACTTTATCCAAATATGCCATTTATTTATCATTAAATCTGGTTAACCCCCTTAACCCCCCTCCGTTTTTAGCTCACCTGAGCCGAAGGCTCAAGTGAGCTTTTCTGATTGAAATCTGTCCATTGTCTGTCATCGTTGTCGTTGTCTTAGTCGTCGTAAACTTTTCACATTTTCATCTTCTTCTCAAGAACCACTGGGCCAATTTCAACCAAACTTGCCACAAAGTATCCATGGGAAAAGGGGAATCAAGTTTATACAAATGAAGGGCCACGCCTTCTTCCAAGGGGAGATAATTATGAATTCATGAAAAATTAATGGCATCATTTAACAATCTTCTTCTCAAAAACCACTGTGCTTGAAAATATGAAACTTATATGGAAGCATCCTCAGGTAGTGTAGATTCAAGTTTGTTCAAATCATGACCCCTGGGGGTAGGGTGGGGCCACAATGGGGGATCAAAATTTTTACATAGGAATACATAGGGAAAATCTTTTAAAAATCTTCTCAAGAACAGCAAAGCCATGATGGGTCCTATTTATATGGAAGCATCCTCAGGTAGTGTAGATTCAAGTTTGTTCCAGTCATGACCCCTAGGGGTAGGGTGGGGCCACAATGGGCGATCAAAGTTTTACATAGGAATATATAGGAAAAAATCTTTAAAAATCTTCTTCTTAAGAACAGCAAACCCATGATGGGTCATATTTATAGGACAGCATCCTCAGGTAGTGTAGATTCAAGTTTGTTCCAGTCATGACCCCAGGGGGTAGGGTGGGGCCACAATGGGTTATCAAAGTTTTACATAAGAAAACATAGGAAAAATCTTTAAAAATCTTCTTCTTAAGAACAGCAAAGCCATGATTGGTCATATTTATATGGAAGCATCCTCAGGTAGTGTAAATTCAAGGTTGTTCAAATCATGACCCCCAGGGGTAGGGTCAGGCCACAATGGGTGATCAAAGTTTTACATAGGAATATATAGGGAACATCTTTAAAAATCTTCTTCTCAAGAACGGCAAAGCCATGATTAGTCATATTTTAATGGAAGCATCATCAGGTAATGTAGATTCAAATTTGTACAAATCATGATCCCCCCCAAACAAGTTTTATATTTAAACTTTTCAAGACTGAACTGATTTCTGCTTTTTCCTAGCCAGAGTGCTCAGGTGAGCGATGTGGCCCCTGGGCCTCTTGTTTAATGACATATTCAAACATGCAATAGCACTGGCAAGGTAAAGGACCATCCCTGCAGCATTGATGTAACTTTTGCATTTCATCTATAGTTGGGTCATCGTCATATAAATGAAAATTCTTGCTGGGATAATTTAACTCCAAATAATCATCCAGGTGGTAAAATGTGTTCATATATTCACATTTTCATTTCATTAGGAGATTCTGCACCATTTTGAATTATGGAAGATTGTAACCATCATCACTTGTATAGTACACTCTCAACATGAGACCTTCTTTGTTTACTTATGTGATCTATTCATGTGCCCATAAATTTGTAAATCCTTGGTAAACTGCTGAAGAGGTAAATCATATGTACATGTAGTAACCTTGATCCATGCACTAAGTTGACATTCATTGGACTTCTCACCTATTTGGCCCTATTTCTTTACAAGTTAGAATGTTCATAGTGATGGCAGCAAGCTCTTTAGACTAACATGAACATGGGAAATTTGAGTAGAAATCTACACTTTCTGCAAGGAAATTTTGATGAGTCTTCATAAAAAAGAGTCTTAAACTCCCAATCCTCTTTATGGCTTACATGGATGGCAACATTAGTACATATTAAAAACAACTTATTTTTAATCTAACTTTTAAGAAAACATTAAAAAAAAATTTATGAGGAGATAAAAAAAAGTTGACATGATGAGACATAATAAATGCAGGCTACCAAATTTTGCTGAAAATTGTGACGTCATTGCCTTAACAATTTGCACAATAAAATGATGGATTTATAGCTTTGGAGGTGTAAGTTGTATTAATTAACAAAACTAACTGCACTCTTCCTAAAGGTTTCACTGTCTGACATGATAAAAATGTGTCATTTCATTATCTGTCTGTTGGGATAGGACTAATAAATAAACACTTTTCTGCACTTTAGAGATCAGATGCTATTAGGTGGACTGATACTGCACCTACTTCTCACTATTTTCTAATACATTTCATGTTTTCAGCAGATATTTGTTTTTGAAAATGTGTGACTGTATTGCACTGGTTTGTTTTCAAGGTGAGCCAAGGCCAGTATTGGAATTTCATGATAAAGATGGAGGTCATATTTCAATGAAAGAAAATCACAATCCTGCAATGAACTTTTTTGTTCCAGCAATAGAGCTGGAGAGGGGTGTTTGATTATTTGATAGATTGATTAAAAAACCTAGTAAAGTGTTTCCAACATATGAGAATTTAATGTCTAATATAAAGGTACTATAATACAGTTATCATTTTATCTGGTCTTGCATAGTTCCAGCAGTGAGCATCAATATTGTACAATACATGTTAATTTTACAAGAGGGCATGGGGGTGGGGTCATGTTTTTGTTGATTTTTTTTGCAGTTTGAATGTTGCAGCCAGTTATCTTTTCCTTTTCATGACAAAACCTGACAGATAAATGACTACCCTTCCCAATAGTGCAGTCACCTATAGGTGTTTAATTATCACACCAAACTGACGTCACTTGTACATCTGTCTCACCTCTGACCCCCAGACATTACTTCCACCCTGTGTCAGCTTACAGAGGGCTTGTATCTTAATGCACTAGATAATCTAGATAGTAGATATTAATCATATTCAGTTCATTGAATAGTAGGAAAGAAATATTTTCTAAAGGCTGCCTCAATTATGTTTAAAGAAGATGGGCGAATAAGATGAGAGAAATACCTATGGTTAGAGAAATATAAGAATGTGAAAATTAAATCTCAAATATAACACAATTTTCTTTGGTATTTTTGTTAACGTTAATGTATACTTTATGTAAATCTCCAAAATTTGCAAGAATCTCACAAGTGTTAAAATTATTAATCTATGAAATATCATGCACACACCAAAGAGGCAAAAATGATCATTTCTTCATACTATAGCACAATTTTTATATACAAATAGGTCTTTGCTCCATTTTTGAAAGTATATCTCTAAAGCATCCTTAAAAATATATGTTTTCCTCTTAACAAATAAAAATTGGAGCAATGACCCACTCTATCTTAAAATACTCTTTTATGACACAAAATTGGCATCTTTCTGAGAAATATTTGAAGTCTAGATATTCAAGGGTCATATCACAAACAAGATTTAAATGATGCTACCTGTTACGTGCTGTGTGATAGAGTGGTTATTGTGTCAGTAAGAAAGAAAAACTGATACTCAGGAATTTTATCCCTTGGGTTCAAATCCCAAGAAATCCTTAAATTTTTTTTACCATAGAATAATTTTTTGCTGAGAGAATTTTTTCACAGAAAAGTTTTGATTGTCATAATTTCAAACCTTTCAATAATTAGAACTTTGTTCTAAATACTTGGTACACAAATTGAATTTGATTTTTAAACATTTGAAGCTGTAGGCATTTTGCACGTCTTTTTCACCCATCTTCTCAAGCATCTTGGCTTTTTCTTTTCACCTTTCTAAACCTATATATTATCAGGTTAGGCACAATTCCCCAATAGAGAAAGCATCTCACTTAAGGAGGCTAGGGGGTCAACAAATTAACCACAAATTAACCACCAGATTTAACTTAATTTTTTAGATATGATATCTTAAGCTGTCAACTATCATTTGGCAAAGAAAAATTTCAAAAATTTTAGTTTTAAAATTTGATCATTTTCTATATCTTCATATGGAGCTCTTCTTCTAAAGGAGATCAATATAGTCTAAAAATGGCCACGACCCCCCAGCCTCTTTAAATGGAATCATTCCTTTTTACAATAATGAAAAACATTCCCATAAACAGGAAATTTCTTGATTGTTTTTTGAATAATGCAGTAAAGAAAATGTGCAAAAAAAAAAATGCAATGTGGTGCAATTTTACTTTAAAAAACCAACATTGCCAACCAAGATTATCATACTTTAACTGCTGTAAATAAGAAAAATTTTAAAGTGTGTTTTAATTATTTGTAAAAGATAAAAATTTAAAAAGACATTGGCTTCACGATGTTGACACCTTTAGATCATGCAGAGGAAATCACATGCAGTGTTTATCAGTGGTCATTGCTTGAATATTTGATCTTCACAAGACCATGAAAACTGATAAGCTGATACCTGCAATAATTTTAGTATCCTGCATATTGTAATGGATGCCCATTTACATTTATATCAAAATATAGACCAACTTCTACACTTGTTCTAATTAAGAGACTGTTAATGGCTAAACACTACTGTGTGTCAGTTAAAGCCATTGTAATAGGGTTCAATTTTCCAAGTAATAAATACTTTTTCAAGAGATGCTTAATTTTTTGTTTTCTTCATTAAACAATTAACCATTATGATTTATGAAGAAAGACTGTTGTAGAAAATGAATTTTATAAGCAATGAACCTTCTATGTGCCATTAAACCAAAATATGCAGTAATTATTTTTGCAGCAATGTGCTAATTTTAACCATTAATTTATACATGAAATCTTTTTCTCCAAATAAGTTTCCTGTTAATTAAGAGTATTTGTATTGTTAGTTAAAGAACTCTTGGAATAAATCCAGAACTGAGGTGACTTTACCCAGAAATTTTGACCTTGAGGGCTTAAGATATGGGGTGTCCTTACCAGCTAATGATGCGATGATAAACTGAGCATGTTTTGGAGACATGTAGCCTTCAGATTTATTGATTCTAACTTGTTTCATGGGATTATATTGATAAACGCTTAATTCTCTGTTGAAGGCCATGTCAGTCTTGCTCTTACATATTAAGGCCAGGGTTCCTTCTAAACTAAAAACAATTTTTTTTCTCTGCGTATTAATTATTTACATTGCATATCATTTTGTGCACTGTAGGAAAGTTTCATTTTAAAAAAAATAACTCTCACTGTGTCATAGTATCCAGTGTTTGGGGTGACAAAATAATCTTTCTCCATTCAAACTGATTTTCTAGAACATGACCGTTTAATTGAATGTCTTATTTCAGCATTATGAAACATGTAGTAACATTTTGCAACTGTCTCTTTCGAAGTCCATGGAGCTGAACTTAAAATATTTATCTTTGAAATTAACTGGACATAGTTCCATTGTCACTGACCTGAAAAATGGTCATGAATTCCAATCGTACTTTGTACCTTTGACGTCATCACCGACATTTTAACCCTAGCAATGTCCGTAAATATTTAAACATGAAGAAAAAGTTTCCGGTCTTCTTTGTTAATATTATCCCACCCCTTGATTTTGCAGGATCCACCCACTTGCTGACCCCTGAGGGATTCCTAGAGGACTTGAAAACCCTATCCAACACTCCTGGAAACTGACCACCTCTTGTTTTCAATCAGTGACAAAAGGATTGGTAACCTGCACTGAACAAGCATCTCAGTTCAATTGTCAATAATGTTGCCATTATTTATTCTTGCTTTGTGGAAAAAAAAACCCAGTGCGTCATTCACAAGTAAACTTTAAAGTCTCTATTAAAAAGTTAAATGACATTTAAAGATTTCATTTATTAGAAGTAATTAAACAAAGATGGGCGTGTATTAGATTTGTAGTCTATTGTATTTATTAGATTTAAGCCCAAAGTCTGCAATATTTATGCTGTACAATGATTATCATAATGACTATGAATTTGTTTAGTGTATGCAATTATAGGAAAACTTCTGTAGAACTTTCAGTGTTTTAATCATAGTAAGGTTTTTGGTTAATTAAAACTAAAGCATTACAAAATATTACAATTGTTAGCATTTTTTCACACTAATTGTTTTGTTGCATTATGTAATGTTATACTTGTACAGTTTGTATTGTATATAGATGACAATTTGTTAAAGCATTATTTCCATGTAGTTTGTGCACTGTACTTCATAATATTAGAGACTTGTCTGTGTAGAGTCTTATGTGCAATATTGATTTTTTCTTCATTTTCTACACAGATTTATAAAGCACCAAAAATACTCTGCAAAATAAAGCAGCCATGTTGTTTTACGTTCATCTCTGTTTTTGCCTTTTATAGACTTTTATGTTGATGGTAGAGTGAAGCTTTTATTTAGTGATAGATGTGTGTAAGGGGAATAAAATACAAGCTGATATGGAATAGATGTGGGACAGAGTTCAAATTTTGTCACAAGAAATGTTCAGCTCTTTCATTAGACTATTTTTATGCTATCATTTAATTTCAATATTTTCATTGTTGCTTTCATGTGATATTTTGAGCAAACTTTATGACAATCTTTGTCACACATGTTGTGATTTTATTGTCAGAGGCATTCATTGTAGCAGCTTCAGCATACATATAGTAACATATTGGAGCATTTAAAACCCAATAAGATAGTGTGTTCTGTTAATAAATATACAGTAAAACTTGTTTGAAGCAAACCTGGATATTGTGAATTACTTTTTTTTTTTTAAGATTTGATAAGGTAAATTGAATATTTTGCTGTAGAAATATTTTTCTGGATAGAAAATACTTAACGTTTTTAAAACACTTGTAGAGTAGTTGATGTACAATATAGTGCTCTCTATTATAAACTGATTTAGGAAGATATTTCAAAGTTTCAGGAAGAAAAAATTACTGTATATTTCACAAAAAAAAAATCTTAATAATTTTATATTAATTATATAATCAATAGAAATGATATATTTCATTTGTTATTCACTTCAAATGTTTTGAAACTTATGTGCAATTCCAAAAAAAAACTTTGTTCAGCCTGATTCAATGTTCATAATATATGCTGTTGAATGTCAAGAAATACATTTGTTTCATGTGTAATGTATATTTCACACATTTCCTCTTATGTACCAGGGGTTTGTCTCTATAAAAAACAGAACCTTTGAGAAATCCTCCTGAAGCAGATAATTTTTTTTACATTCCTCTTCTGAATGTACAATGTTGTGGCAAATGAAATAAACAATGAATTAAAGAATAAATGATGGTTTCTTTTTTTCAAAGATACAAAGGTCTTTTTTTTGGGGTTTGATATTTTGGGGTAGAAGAAATTTATTAACTTTACCCTGATTAAATGTGACATTCATTCATGAACATTCAAACTTGCATTATCTTCAGTGATTTGTCTACATTATAATCACGTCATGGTTTTCTTTCCATTTATAAGTTGACCTACTTGCAAAAGTAGGTCAAAGCAAATTCTGCTGGTCAGTAACTGTGTCTAAGAAATCAGATTTTCAGCAGTTATTTTGAAATACTAATACACAAAGTATTATAGTTACATTCCTAACACAGGGGTCAATATTAGCATAACTTGAAATTTGTGTTTTTAGTGGGTTTGTGTGTACTACCGCGAAACAATTAATAGTCTTAGATGGAACACCCCGTTTTTATTCTAAAGGTTACCAGTACTCTTGGAATACTTTTTTCAACAATTGTTTAAGTAGTTTATTGAATTAACAATCAGAAATGCTTTCACCCACTGAATATTTGTATTTTTACCTTTCAATACATGTACATCCAATAGAACCAATTTTGGAAGGAAATGAGTTGGTGTAAGGATCGAAACATCAGAACATAGATTACAGCTTTTGAAAAGGTCCTTTTTTCATTGGTAATATGTTCAAGGCTAATATTCAGATCTGGTTTGTTGAATGATTTTTTTTATTGTTATGTACAAAAAAGACTAATAAGAATGCAGTGGGTTTATCCATGATGGGTCAGGTTGAAGTGTGCTGCAAGAAAGAAATAGTATAGGCTTGTTGAAAAAACATTTTTATGCCCTGCCATGAATATGGCCGGGGCATATAGTGTTTGTCATGTCCGTCTTCCGTCCTTCCGTCACACTTTGCGTTTAGCTCTGTTCAAAGCTCAGTTTCAAGAAACTATCCAAGATATTTTTATCAAACTTCATATGCTGATAGATATTGATGAGAGCTATGCAACTGCATCAACATTTTTTGACCTTTCCTTTGACCTTGACCTCACTTTTCTTAAATTAGTGTTTAGCTCAGTTTTAAAGATACCATTCAAGATATTTTTATCAAACTTCATATGCTGATAGATATTGATGAGAGCTATTCAACTGCATCAACATTTTTTGACCTTGACCTTTCTTTTGACCTTGACCTCACTTTTCTTAAATTAGTGTTTAGCTCAGTTTTAAAGATACCATTCAAGATAGTGTAATCAAACTTCATATGTTGATACATACTGATGTAAGTTATTCAACTGCATCAACATTTTTTGACCTTGACCTTTCTTTTGACCTTGACCTCACTTTTCTTAAATTAGTGTTTAGCTCAGTTTTAATGAAACCATTCAAGATATTTTTAACAAACTTCATATGCTGATACATACTGATGAGAGCTATTCAACTGCATCAATATTTTTTACCTTGACCTTTCCTTTGACCTTGACCTCACTTTTCTTAAATAAGTTTTTAGCTCAGTTTTAAAGATACCATTCAAGATAGTGTTATCAAACTTCATATGCTGATACATACTGATGAGAGCTATTCAACTGCATCAACATTTTTTGACCTTGACGTTTCCTTTGACCTTGACCTCACTTTTCTTAAATTAGTGTCAAACTTCATATGCTGATACATACTGATGAGAGCTATTCAACTGCATCAATATTTTTTGACTTTGACCTTTCCTTTGACCTTGACCTCACTTTTCTTAAATTTGTGTCAAACTTCATATGCTGATACATACTAATGTAAGCTATTCAACTGCATCAATATTTTTTCACCTTGGCCTTTCCTTTGACCTTGACCTCACCTTTCTCAATTTGTGTTAAAATGTTGCATTACTAATATACCCTCGGCGGGGCATTCATGTCCTATGGAAATATTTCTAGTTATCTTAATTTTTAGCATTTAGGTTAACACTTTTGCTTGGTATTGAGAAAATCCTTTCACCACTGGGGGTCAATAGTTAAATTTTGCCACTTTTAACAAAGTGATTTCAACATTCTGTTCTCTTTAAAATGCTTAGGAAGCAATTTCATTTTGTGCCCAAACAGAAATTCCTTGAAAACGTTATTATTGAGGCAACAGACCCGTATATTGGATTTGTTTTCTATTGTAATTCTAATACATTTTTATACAGGCAGAATGAAAAGGGGGGTGGGTGGGCACGACACCCTGTGCCCCCCCCCCCCCCGGCCAATCCTATCCAGTTCTCAAGGCCCTGCATGTTCAAAACAAGTTTGATGCGTTTCATCCTAGTGTTTTACTCACGAATAGTGTAGCATCCCTTTCTGTTGCAGGCGTCGGTGTCGCAGCATCCTCCGCAGAGTTGAGCGACATGGGGATCGTTACCAATACCAACTTGTCGCCTGCCGTGTGACAGACCGTGGCCGTGCGAGAGGAAAGCGCGACACATCTGCAATGAGACAAATGAATTAATGAATTGTTACACGAATTATACGAGACTCTCATGTAAGGGGTTTCGTCTTTGTTTTAACAGATTTAGAATTTTTTTTTTAAGAATAAGTGCCTCCCCCAAGACACTAAGAATTCTTGTCAAATATGCATAGTTTTCATTTTACAAAAGCAGTTTCATGCAATGGGTTAACAAAGTTATACAGCCTTGTTGCACGTATTGGGTAGGGATTTAAGTTTGTTCTAAGTTGTGCATTGCATCGTCTTGATGCAAACTCCACTCACCACTTTGCTACGACAGCCCATAGTGTGCCGTACGTTATGGTTTTGATCCATCACAACATCGGCATAGCACTCCTGCAGCAAAGACACAAATGGATAAACTGCGTGCAAAGATTAAATTTCGAGCAATGTAGTGCTTTTGTTTGGTTTGGAGTAAGTTTTACCTGATGATCTTCGCAGTTTTGGATTTGTGTGCAGGATAAGGGATCCACTTCTGGATTTTCACATACCTGGCACTTTCTAGTTGGTTTAGGAGCTTTAGCAAAATGTCAAAACATAATTCGATTGTGACATTCCATATGCATTTAAAGTAAATAATTAGACCTTAACTAAAACTCTTGGATGGTGGTATTGCCTTGCACAATTTCTTATTGACGTTACATGTAAAATTGTTTCTGATCAATTCCTCTTATTCAAATTTATAAGAGTGATAAATCGTGTTACTTGTGACGATTGTACACAACTTGTTGTTACAATAACCAGATGAACAACATTGTGTGCACAGGTGTATAATGTTTCTTTTTTCTCTGTCAGTCATGTCTTCAATGTCCTCTTCACGTTTTCCAAGAGAAGAGAGAATATCACAAATCTGTCAAAAATGTGCATTGTTTCCGAATTATCTCAGCATATTTAAGGAAAGACAAGGATGGACTGATTATGTAAAGATTTGTTTGCTGGTGTATAATGTATATCTGGGTAACCTTGTATTACTCACTCGTTTGGCTTTACACCCCAGTGAAAAGTAAACATTTCCCTCTTCACTGATATACTTGTCGGTGAAACATTGCTGAAAAGCAAAAATTTAAAAAAAAATCACACAGATTTTAAGATGACAGTTATTGCGTTATATGAATACATTTTTTTAAATTATGGTTTTGTTTTTGTTTCTTTGCTTTTTGATAATGTAACCAGAAATCTCAATAAAACTCCCTTACATTGGAGGTTAAATTTAGTATCAGATGACGTCATACCTCGTCTGTATTACAAGCTTCTGTGACGGTGCAGTCAACAGCGTCTGCTACCTTGTCACATCGGTAGCACACCAATGGGGCTATGGCAGAGTCATAACATCAATAATATTTTTCATTGATTTTATTTCTTAAATACAGCACATTTTGTCAACTAAAAGTAGAAAGCTAGAAATATTCTACCTGTGTCGACTGGGACTAGCAACTTAGGAATACTTATTTTATGAAGAACAAAAAATAAATTTGTAATTATTGATAAACTGTCATCGAGGTACATGTGTTTTATCAATAGTGTTATTACACCCCACCCACCCCGCCCCCTCTTTTTCTCTAATGTATTTTGTCTACTATATATTTCATGGCCGTAGGAACCCGGGCACGGGAGGGGGGTGCCCCCCTCCTCCCAATAATTTTGCCGATATTTAGAATACTAAACTGCTTGTGCCCTCTCAATAATAACACTTCTGATGCCTTTTTTTTTTTGCTTGTCAAGAAATTTTTGGTAGTTGATAGTGCCCCCCCCCACCCCCACCCCCCCAACTGAAAATTGAAAATGTATGGTTGCCCCCCCCCCCCCGAAATTGCTTCATTTTCCCTCCTAATCAAAACACACACCGCGTAAACAAACATAACAAACTATGGACTCGTATTCTGAAATGACCTTTTCCTTTTCTTCAGGAACGTTGTGTCTGTGTGTTTATGAGGGGAAGCCATACGAACCTTGTTTCTTGACTGATCCACCATGGAGACAAACGAGCCCTAAAAATTCATATGAAAAAAAAAATGGTTATGGAAATTTTCTATTAATTTCTTTAATTCATTACACTCTTGAAACTGTGGCTGGGAGAATTTCTAACCTGACAGAAGAAAAATGGTTCCTGCTAACGACGGCATTTTGCACTGAAGTGATCTGTCCTGTGTTTCTAATAATATTTCTGATCTTGATAACCTTTACAGTTTGTGTCATATGATTAACATACATTTATAAGACTTGATCAATTCATCTATCAATATAGATTATTCATGTAGATTTGAGAAAGTCTATGTTCAAAACCCCCAGGAGTATAGGCATAAAATGAAGAATTTTGCAATCACTGTGTATTTTTGGTTTTCTAAAGATATAAATCTACTAATTCTGATGTTTCGTAATTGTTTCTTACACAATATATATAGAGGAATCCCATAAAGATTATACTGTCTTTACTGTGTTATAATGGTTCCATATGTAATAGTTTATATAGGGATTTACACAGCATACAAAAAGTCGAGATAAAAATAGTAAGAATTTAAAAAATGTAGAAATACTCTTACATCAAATAGAAATAAAGCAGTGTTACAGTAGCAGATCTGAAATCAACGTGTTTAAGAACGAAAAGAATTTGATTTAAACACCTGTGAAAAAGGTGTGTGTGTATGATATATATATATAGATATAGATATAGATATATATATATATATATATATATATATCGAACAAAATTAAAATTGTAAAAAATCATACCATGTAAATAAAGAGCACCCCCTTACTTAATTTTAAATAATAAATTCAATGAAATATTGGATCTTTGAAGACATTCCCAATATTGAGCGACATGTGAATGACGAATGAGGTGACTTTCCATATTTAGATATTATTTATGCGTTTCTAGGGTGTTAGCCCCGCCTCTCTCTCCACGTGCATGTGAGAGACTGTATAAGAGAAGATTCTCCATTCATAAATTGTTATAGTTATTTCATCTTTACAAACTTTTACTCCAATTAGTGCAATATTTTTGCTTTTTTTTCTACAGCCATGGTGTTCTACATTGTGCCAGCGGTGAGTTTTTCCCCTATATGTCTTGCATGTATATGCGTTTTCTATGAGATATCAAAATGAGAATACATGAAGTAAATATTTTCATCGCTCTTTTTATTTTACTTTTCAACTACATTTTTCTTAATATAAATTCAGAAATCATTATCAAGAATTTAACAAAATGTGCGAGATAATGTATTAAAACCTTTCTTTTCTTTCAAATTAGATTATATAAAGTAAACTGATACAATGCCCTTTGTACGAAGTCAAACGAAAACTAAGGTTTGCGGTTCTGTTTCCAGCAAAACTAGGAATAAAAATATAATTTTAAATTTATTTGGGAATAAATTGGACATTGATTTGTTAAGAATATGTTTAGAAGTGAGGCAGAATTGCCTCTAGATCCTCTTATCGGCTCTATCGGCAGCAGTAACAGATGCTCACGTTGAAGATAACGCGGTCACGTTAACAACACTTTTATCAACTACCCGAACAATCCTCATAGGGTCAAAAGGACTAAAATGTCCTTAATGGACAGTGACCGTGAATTCCTGTGATGCAATGTTTGCTTTTCCGGTTGAACTTAGTACAGCCATGCCACACCGGCCTTGGTATCGCTGGACGTGCTAAATAATGGCACTATTGTCTGTAGACAGAACGAAAGCTTTCTAGTCTCTATACATAAGGAAAATATGTACATATTAGATCAATTAAAGGGAAAATCCGTTTACGTCAATTTAACGTTTCAGTAATATATTTATACATAATATTGGTGAGGTGCTTGGGAACAAAGAGAAACCAATTGACTCCCGAACTTTAGTTCCATTTTTACCTGGATGTCAAATTCTACAAAATTAAATCCATTTGGTTAGAGAGCAGGGGTATCTGATTGCAATATTAAAACAGAAATACTTGAAGTTAATCAGAAAAAAGGAGAAAAAAAGACAAATATATATTTTTCAAAAATACTTTATTCTTTATTTGGTTACAAAAAAGTCTTAAGTTCTTCGGTTCTGTAATAAACACTTAAATATTATTTAATAGATTTTGTACTATTATATATATAAAATGAATCTTGCAATATTGTAAAGGTTTTTTGCAACTTCCGTATCTTGGAGGTATTACTTGAAAATTAATCGCATTTTTTTCTATTACAGGTGCTTTTCGCTTTCGCAGTATCCACTGTTGAATGCCGCTCCTTGTCTTGTGTGAGTACAATATGACATTTTTAGCAACTTTTCATTCTTTAATTGACTTTCTGATGTTCGTTAACCAATAGTTATTAAGCCAACTACATGTAGCGGGATTTTTCTTTCAGAATTTGAACTGCCCCACCGGAACAAAATGCGTTCTTCAGAGGAGTACTTGCGAATACCCGCCATGTAAACGTTACCCTGTCTGTCTCGGTAAGTTGTTTCATGGTTTTGCTGCAATCAACAATTAGTTTTTCTCATTTGAAGAGATTCAGTTGTTAGAAGTATTGTGATTTCCAACCGGACTAAATAAGAAATTGTCGAAAATTTTATCAGTGGTGTTGTCCGCTTTGCAGTACATTTACTTATTTTCTTTGGTTTTAACAACCCATAATAATAACCATTTTCAGATGTTAATCCACCTTATCAGAGTAACCATGTCCCAGCCGTAGTTTCCCGCCCAGGGAGATGCCCTGTCCCCACGACACCTGGACCATGTACAACACAATGTCAGAACGATGCTATGTGCCCCAACAATGGAATCTGTTGTTATAATGGCTGTGGCTTTACGTGCAGCAGACCACAAACCAAACCAGGTACATGCCCTCGATATCTTCGGAACGAAAACCTCTGTGGAATGGACTGCTCGAATGATAGTGACTGCCCGGGGGTTGAGAAATGCTGTCTTACGGCCTGTGGGAGCACTTGTTCAAGACCCTGTTATTACTACCTATTCAATACTGCAAACCAAGTAGCTGGCGTCCGATCGGCATTTTGGTCCCTTCCGTACATGTGTCGCCGAATGTAGCACCTGCCCAACTTCAGATGTCTTGAATTTGCCATACGTTATCGAACTATGTTGGACTTTGTCTGTGTGTGCGTGTGTGTGATTGTCAGCATGTACAGCCGTCCAAATGTGTTCAACTTTTTACTTTTATTCAAGTGACAAAGAAGGGAACGTTTGAAATATTCTATGTTTATTTTACAGCATTTTTTATTTGTGCAATGATACATGTGTATAACTTATCAGATCTGAATAAATTATTTATTTTCAGGTAGGTTTTTTTGTGTATCATCTTTTTTCGTAATTCAGAAATTATTGCCATTCAGTTCAAGAGGACTTTTTTCTGTGTATCAAATAAATACATATTTTAACTCTCTCTCTCTCTCTCTCTCTCTCTCTCTCTCTCTCCCCTACATAGAAATGATGCTTATGTACGCGAAAATCAATATGCTTGCTTCACTGCAATGGACAAGGGGAATTTCAAGATTCATAATACATTGTTCCTAAACCCCGGATACAATTATTCTCGGGAAAGGTTTTAGAAAAAAAAAGTGGGGGGAGGGGGTTCACTTGTAGAGTACAGACGTCATTAAATTAAAGGAATTTCATTATTCTGATATTTCCTTTTCAAAACTTCATGTTTAGGAATTATAAATGTGATTTTGAATCAAATGCAACCTGGTAATGTATAATATTGAGATTAAATAAAGATTTCATTCTTTAGTTGCAGTAAGATAACGGATACCTCTTAACAAATTTAATTTATCTCTGTGTATAATTTGAAAATGACCAAGGAATCTCGATTCTACTGATTAAAAAAAAAAATCTAAGATTAAAAGAAGACTTGACTTTCATAGAAACATCCAACGACATGTTAAGGTCGGTCAATCGATATATTGGTTCTTTTGATTGATCATGTGTTTTTTATGCCCCCGTAATCGAAGATTTGGGGGTATATAGTTTTTGCCCTGTCCGTCTGTCTGTCTGTTTATCTGCTTGTCCGCAAAAACTTTAACATTGCCCATAACTTTTGATTGGTTGGAGCTTTGACTTTCATATTTCACATGTGTATACCATGTGACAAGACCTTTCTTTGGGTACCATCATATTTGACCTTTTGACCTTGACCTTGGAGTTTGACCCAGTTTACTTCACATGTGTAATCCTTGTGATAAGATCTTTTGAATACCAACAACTTTGACCTTTTGACCTTGACTACTTTTGAAAAACTTTAACCTTAGCCATAACTTTTGAACGGTTGATGCTAGGGCTTTCATACTTCACATGTGTAATTCTTGTGACAATACCTTCCTTTGAATACCAAGAACTTTGATCCTTTGACACTGACCTTGGAGTTGACCGACTTTTGGAAAACTTTAATCTTGGCCATTACTTTTGAACAGTTGGTGCTAGGGCTTTCATACTTCACATGTGTATTTCTTGTGACAAGACCTTCCTTTGGATATCAACATTTATAGCCCATTGACCTTGGAGTTTGACGAACTTTTGCAAAACTTTAACCTTGGCCATAACTTTTGAATAGTTTGTGCTAAGACGTTCACACTTCACAGAAGCAATCCTTGTGACAAGACCTTACTCTAGATACCAACAACTTTGACCCTTTGACCTAAGCCTTGGAATTTGACCTACTTTTGAAAAACTTCAACCTTGGCCATACCTTTTGAACGGTTGGTGCTAGGGCTTTCATACTTCACATATGCATTTCTTGTGAGAAGGCCTTTCCTTGGGCACCATTGATTTTGACCATTTGACCTTGATGTTCGACTTACTTTTGAAATTTTTTAACCTTTTCCATATCTATTCAATGGTTGTTACTAGGGCTTTCATATTCTCGAGACAAGACCTTACTTTGGGTACCAACATATCTGATTTGCATTTAAGAAAGTTTAACCTTCACTATTAGTTGCCATACGGGCGCATCAGTGTTTCACAAACACATTTTTATGCCCCTGGATCGAAAGATCCCGGGGGTATATTGTTTTTGTCCTGTCTGTCTGTTTATCTGTTTGTCTGTCTGTCTGTTGTCAACTTTAACCTTGCCCATAACTTTTGATTGGTTGGAGCTATGACTTTCATATTTCACATGTGTATTCCTTGTGATTAGACATTTCTTTGGGTACCATCATATTTGACCTTTTGACCTTGGAGTTTGACCCAGTTTCGCAAAATTTTATGAGACTTTAACCCTGGCAATAACTTCTAAACAGTCGGTGCTTGGGATTTCAAACTTCACATGTGTATTCCTTGTGACAAAACCTTCCTCTGGATACCAACAACTTTGACCTTTTGACCTTGGAGTTTGACGTACTTTTGAAAAACTTTAACCTTGGCCATAACTTTTGAACAGTTGGTGCTTGGGGTTTCAAACTTCACATGTTATTCCATGTGACAAGACCTTCCTCTGAATGTCAACCTCTTTGACCCTTTGACCTTGTACTAGGAGTTTGAACTACTTTTGAAAAACTTTAACCTTGGCCATAACTTTTGAATGGTTGGAGCTAGGGCTTTCATACTTCACATATGTAATCCTTGTGACAAGACCTTTTTTTTGGATACCAACCACTTTGACCTTTTGACCCTGACCTAGGAGTTTGACCTACTTTTGAAAAACTTTAACCTTGGCCATAACTTTTGAATGGTTGATGCTACGGCTTTCATACTTCACATATGTAATCCTTGTGATATCACCTTCCTTTGGATACCAACCAATTTGACCCTTTGACCTTGACATAGGAGTTTTACCCACTTTTGAAAAACTTTAACCTTGGTCATAACTTTTGAATAGTTGGTGCTAGGGCTTTCATACTTCACATACGTAATCCTTGTGACAAGACCTTTCTTTGGATACCAACCACTTTGACCCTTCGACCTTGACATAGGAGTTTGACCTACTTTCGAAAAACTTTAACCTTGGTCATAACTTTTGAATGGTTGGTGCTAGGGCTTTCATACTTTACATATGTAATCCTTGTGACAAGACCTTCCTTTGGATACCAACAACTTTGCCCTTGATTTTTACTTACTTTTAAAAAACTTTAACCTTTGCCATAACTTTTGGACAGTTGCAGCTAGGGTTTTCAAATTTCACAGGTATATTCCTCGAGACAAGATCTTTCTTTGGGTACCAACATTTTTTTTTATCTTTTGGCCTGGATTTCGACTTGCGTTTGAGAAACTTTAACCTTCGCCATAAGCTGTTATACGGGAGCATCAGTGTTTCACAAACACATCTTGTTTTCTTTTCTTTTTTTTCAATGAAAACATGTATTTTTCTAGATCAAAATTGATATACATGTATTAATTTTCAGACAATTTAGAAATGTTTAAAGTGACGTAAGCCAGTTTCACACTAAAGTCTAAGTGAAAAATATGGGGGGGGGGGGGGTTCTGGCGTTTAAGGGTTTATTCAGGGTTATAAATAATAATTACCATTCATATGTATGTACAGTATGACTATAAAATGTTCCCTCATTTGATTTTCATTATAAAATATAATCATATCAATAATCAAAAAGTCATATTAGGTTCCATACTTGTATATTGTATGTTTTACTAATTTTTTTACAGTGATAGTTTTAAATACAGTTTTAATTTATAGACATATATCAATGTCCCATATGCATAAGTGTTGCAAAACATTGCTTGTATGCCCTGTCATACTTTGTACTGGCCCCAGTCCCTGGTGATAAATCTTGCCTGGTGCCTTGAACGCACGCTGCTTTACACGAGTTATTACTAAACTTTTGTGATAATATTACCCGATGTCATTGATTATGCAGTATCAATACTGGTGTAACTTACTGGGACTCTCTAGTCCCCATTTTCATCCCGATATTCATGCTCTTCACATACATATTACATAATATTAGTATTATATTAAGTAGAGAGCGATATCACTTTTTAACGGTTTCTTGCACTTTTTTGATGCCAATAGTTCGACTTTTTTAAAAAATTTGCCATGCCAATACTTGCACAAAGGTACATTAGTTCTAACTTTGAGGCAAAGTCAAGGTCGTAAGTATTAATTAAATTCTCTTATTCATAATGTCTTAACACAGTGGAAAAAACACAACAGAGAATTTATGGTTGACCGAAAGGTCCCATGCAAGTGACAAAGAGTGTCTTAACCAAATTCATTTTTGAAGGTCGAGGTCACAGTGATTGGAAGTCTAGGTCATCATTCTGAGAATGAAAAACGGTTAGCACTTTTCTCACATAAAAGTTTGTGATGACTGGAGGATGAAATGTATGGAGATAACGAACAGTATTCAAGTTCAAAAGTCCATTAAACAATACAAATTTTGGAGCAGAGCAAACACGGACCTCTAAAACATCAGAGATGGGATCAGGTGCCATGAAGGAGTGAGCATCCCCTGCTGGCCGGTCACACCCGCCGTGTGCTCCTTGTCATGATCGGGTAATAACGGAAAAATCCGTCGACAATTCAGTGAGTAAATAATGGCCTAATAATTAGTATGAAAAACGTCAGTCGGCATTTGACTTCATGATAGACTGTACATGTATATGCTGACAAGGTCATTGTATCTACCATTGAACTTACGAAATGACGACTTTGAACAAGACTGCTGATATTCTTGTTTCATCAACTTGTTTGTCAATAACATACTTCGTTTTAGAAATTGTTCATACGTAGAGCATGCTCTTGCATTTCGAAACAACTGAGAGATATAAGCCCCGTATGCAGGTGATGAAGGTATATTGCTGCATAAGTGAGGGGAGCTGACGATTGTAAAGTTAAAGTCATCACGTTTATCATATAGCTTGGTTGTTAGATTACCATGAACGTCTTTTCTAGTAAAATATCCAAATATGAAGCAGATGTGTCAGACTCTGTGGTATCTTTATTTCAAGCTTACTGGGATATATCGTATCGATATACGAATGGAAATAACCATTGTTAATTGACAATACGTCGTCGATATATCTAAATGTCGAGTTGAAGGCAACAGCAAGTGTTTTGTTCTTTTCACGTACAAGATTTTGAACAAATTCTGCTTCATATGAATACAAAAAT